TACAGCCGGCGTTGTGTAAAGATCTCATCTCTGCTGCTAGATTACTGCCCGAGTTCGCGGTACGCTGTACATGCCGATTACGCTCGATGCAGTCGCGCATAGTAGGGCATTTCTACCATCCTCCGGTGCCTCTGATCGCCAAGCCTGATAAAAGCATACCTAATTTGTCGCCGAAGGCACCCCTGTCCTAGGTTTCGTTGGAGGCTGTGTCTGGCGGCATGGACAGTAATCGGTCAGATGTGGTTATGTGGCCGCATCTGAAGTAAAAAAGCCCAGCCGCCTTTAATACGGGACCTTTGGTAATAGGGGCTTTTACAGGTGGGGCCGGGGAACGCCCAGGCGACGAGGTTAAGTAATTGTACGCAAAAGAAAAGCTATTGGCAATGCGCGGTTGTACTTTGAGCGACTGGAAAATAGTTGTCCTAACCCCAAATCTAACCACTAACACCTAACTCTAATCTCTAAACCGAACCCTAACCCTTAATCGCAGCCCTAAACCTTAATCCTGAAACATTCAACGCGAAAGTTGGAAGGAGACGACAGACTGAAAGTTAGGAAGGACCACCGGCATTGGGCCGAAAAAGGTAGACTCGGCCACAGAAAAACAAGGCCGCCAACAGAACACACACCGCAACGCACAGCAACACCACGCCAACGTAATCACACCAACTCAAAGTAATTGAGTCCATCAGATGCGGCTACATAACCACATCTTACCCATGAAATGTTGGCTGAAATTCTGAAATGTGTTTTCGATTAGAAAGGATTACTTGGGCGGGGTTGTGATACTGCTTATCTTGCGGTATAATCCTATAATATTTCGGAGTTGGCAGGATGTCAGCTTTTAAGTACACTGCTCATCAATCTCCTGTAGAAACCGTACTTGGTAAAGAATGACTACTTGAGTAGCATGCATTTTTACTTTTGATTTTCGATGGTCTTGCAAATTCAAATATATTTTGGAGAAACCACGAACAAAATTAGGCTTTATTTTAGTCGTTTGATAGATAATCACGTCATCTTCATGTTTTGTACTCGAGGAAGGAGTATAATTAGGTTTTGAAAAAGTTTGCCGAATAATTTGGAGCCTGATCAGTCGTTGCATTAGCGCTTTATGGTTTTAGTCTACAAGGTGCATGCATTCCGCGTAAAGAAAATCACCTATTCTTCTATGCCATTAAAAAGATATATAGAGTTCATAAAATTTTGCAATGGATGCAGACTATGTTGTACATTTCATGAGGAGCAGTGATAAACGGACAGGTTGGATGCTATGTGAATGGACATTGCGCGGTCTTAAAAAATCTCATAATTAGGAACCTTTTTAAAACCTAATTATACTCTTTCCTCGGGTATAAAGTATAAAGATGACGTAATTATCTATCAAACGACTAAAAGAAAGCCTATTTTTGTTCGTGGTTTCTCCAAAATATATTTGAATTTGCAAAACCATCGAAAATCAGTAATAAAATGCATGCTACTTAAGTAGTCATCCTTTACCGAGTACAGTTTCTACAGGATATTGAAATGCAGTGTACTTAAAAGCTGACATCCTGCCAAGTCCGAAATATTATAGGATTATAGCGCAAGATAATCAGTATTACAACTTCACCTAAGTTGTCCTTCCTAGTTGAAAACGCATTTCGGAACTTCAGCCAACATTTCATGAGATCGGTCACTCACCATATCTGCTAAATGGTGTCTATCGAGCTAGTAGACTTTCAAATGACCTAACGCCGTATCACCCTAACCTGCATTACCACTTCACGTGGGGACTTTTACGTCAGGGAAAGGGTAGACTGTGACGGCCTGTTTAGCTCCCTGACCCTCATATCCCAACCCTTGGCCGGCCAGATCGGGAATCTAATAAAATCGATATCCATTTAGTTTCATACCCAGGGTTGTACCAGTTGGGCACGAACCCGCGATGGGGAGCATTCAAAATCACACGAGATTGTCATTCACCGATTTTACCTGGGTCCTAGGAGTGAATACGGGTTTTTTTTTCGAGTTGAAGCTCCAAGCTGGAGTCCTCAGAGGCCGTCTCACAGCGACGAACAACCTCATAGTCGAACGGTTTATGGGCTAAGTTAAAGAACTTGAGACCAACTGGTCTCTCGTTCTAATCCCAGGCATCCGCAGTGTGGATTGGACTTGTCTGATGACGACTAATGACCCAAAGACATCTATTTCAGCCTCCCTCATGCTAGTTGGCAGTTCCCACCCAGTCGCATCCATAACGTCCGACTCCTATTTATCCCATTCAGGTTTTCCCGGTAGCCCATCATTTCATTGGCTGGGGATGGGCTGCGTACCCCTTATCTGCCTAATAATTTGCACAGAGGACCAGGCGGGCTGAGTCAGTCGTCACCAAGTTGAGTGTAACTAGATTTCCCTTGGTGCGTATT